CTGATGTATTCTTTCCCTTTTATGTATTTGGTAGGACTGAGGCATATAATGCTCTATCGTTAATAATCCAGCTTGTTTTGTAAATGAGCCAAGGGAGGTTTATATCTCATACTGCCTCTTCATTACTGTCCAGCTGAGGATCATGTGTAAACTCGTCTTAGGAAATGTAAAATGAGCTCAATAAGCATTCTTTTCTTGAAAACAATGTACCATAGTTCCAAGACTGAGTAGTCTGGGGAAAACTGGTGGGTGTTTATAGCAGTAAAACAACATCTTGTGATTAAATATCAAGGTCTAATTCCCGAAGAGATACAAACTTTACATCAATGTACATATGTGCATATATAGGAATTGCTTCACTCATCAAAGAAAGAGAGCCAGATCTTGGGAAGCTGCAACATGACAGCTGCTCAGTAGCTGATACTAACACATTTTAGGACGGGAAGTGAAGAACAATAGCACACTCAAGAGGACTTTGAACTCTATTTTTATCAGAAGTCTATGGCAAGCGTAGCAACTTTCTTAGATGTTGCCTGTGACTACTGGTAGCTCGCTTGTTATATAAAATTTTAGAGAGCAGGTTAGTATCAATGGTACCGTCATTATTTTCCACAGCTTTTTATTGTTGTATTTCTCTTCCAAACGCAGATCTGTCCTGGTGCATTTTTGCTTATGGATTGGGGCAGAAACGTGGCGTTCGGTAACATACCTATTGTTCTCTGCATTGCTGTTGTTAAAATATTGTTACACTGTTTTCTGAACACACAGGAGATCACTTTCCATGTTATTTTCCTGAAAACAGATGATGCGATAGCTTACTATTAGTTGTACAATTGCTGCAGGGCAGAGAAATGCGTAGAATGTAACAGAAAATAGTTATATGCTTCTATATGAAACATATTTTTAAATAGTATAAAAATATTCTTTGACCATGTAGTTTCGTTTCTTGACAATATTCTTCCTGGCAATAAAACCAGCTCTAGAATACTTTTCAACGGTTATTCCAATACTTTTCCAGCTGATGTCAGCCAGGACTGTGCCTCTGTAGAGACACTAAGACTGGTGTATTTATGTAACTATGCTCGGGGAATGCTTCTATATGCAAACCGCTTTACACTTCATTGAAAACATGGAGTACTTTTTTTTTTTTGCTTATTTAGTGTCAGAGTTGAATGCTTCAGATTATAAACTCAAACTTGCATAGTTACTAGAATCATATGGTACAAAGCACATGCCAGGCTCTGTTTGTGAACGTCATTAACATGCTTTGTTCTTAGTTTTTGGATGTTCTAGGTGTTTTTTAACTGTTTTAAACATTGGCAAAAGCACAGGCAACAGTATCAAAGACCTAAAGGTTAGAAAATGACGCCAAATGCACGAAGAACTGTAACCCAGCCAACCTAAGGAGTACGTATCCTCACAAAGAAGACAAACAAGTGAAAATTTTAGAAGTTTTGCACAAATTGAACAGACTTTCCCTGCAATTCGTGTGCTAATCACTTCGGCATCATTCAGACGCCAAAACTGAGCTAGATCCCTGTGTGCATAAAAAAGGGTGTAATTAGTCAGAATTTTTAAAAAAGTTGGAAAATGAAGGGAGAGGAAAGACAAGGAAAATAATAATATCTAGTGGCTGCACAGGGAGCCATGTAATCATCTTGGTGCTGATGAATACAACGCTTAAAAACTGCCTACTGCCGTCTCTATCTAAAGTTGCCATGAACTAACTGGAGAGTGAGGGAACTTTGTAATATACACAGCTGCATTCTGAATGCTTAAGTAGCAAGTTGAATAGATTTATGTGTATGCTGGAACAGATTGCTTTAATAAATCTATTTCCTACAGATAGACTTTATTTTTATATTGGAACCTAAACCAAATTGTTCCTATGCAAGCATTTTTGTTAAAGAAAAAAAAAAAAAGAAATGGCAAGATTTTGGAGATGACCTGACAAATCCTAGTATGGCAGATGTATATTTTAGTATATGAGTTATCTATTTTTTTCTTACATTTGATTCTTCATATAGTGTGACCATTGTCATTTGTGGCCATTATATCACGCTTGGATGTTCCCTTTGCTTTTACTTCTTCATTGTAGTTTTCTGCAAGGAAAAGTATGACAAGTCACACTATGGGGATGACTGACTAAGGCATCAAAAGCAATCTTGCCTTAAGCTTATTTCTAGATTGCATAAGATTTGAATCATACCAAATGTTTGTCCTTATAATACAATCCTTGTTCTCACTAAACTGCCATTGACTGCTGCTCTGAATGACCAATTTGGGACCATATTTGCTTTCATTAATGCCAAGAGCATGCTTGTCATCAAAGAGAGTTGATTCAGATCCTCCAAAAAAATAAAAAAAACCCTACGCATATGAGTGTATTACTTTTGGTTGTAGGACAGACTTTGTAAAAGTCTATTTGGATGCAAAGGCTTTCGAAACAAAAAAAAAGTAGATGAGATTGCATGGCTGCCCTTGCAATGTTTTTGGTAAAAGATCTTGCATGTTATGAGTATTCCTATGCTATAATATTACCAACATAAATGTGACAGTGATGTAGGCTGAGGGGGTATTTGAGGAAAGGTAAAAATGTTTTCATTGTTCTCTTGAAAAGACTATGAAATGAGCAAGTAAAAGGTTTGTTTTACTATCCACTTTCAGGAATTTTGCATCAGAAGATGTGCATCAGTCATTCAGGCCATAGTGTCTTAGTAAGGATGTCAAAATCAGGTATATGGCTTTAAAAAAGTCATTTAATATTGTGTAAAATCATTAGATCTAGCCCTAGATATCTTCTTTTTTTTTTTTTTCTTTTTGGCCTATTTACAAAATTAGTCATCGGGTCTGGATATGGACAGTGCATCTGTTTCTCTCCTCCTTATGAACTTTGGACTTTCTCAAGAGAAAGTGTGGGCTAGAGGAACTGTTATGCTTTAAAAACTGGAGATGTTAAGTAGGTGGTACAAAGCCATGGTTTCTGATGCCTTTCTTCTTTAGAATTGAGAAATATTTTCAGGAAAAATTTTAATTGGAATGTTGCATTATGAGTTTCTGGGGTTCTTTCTAGTCATAGTAATGTGATGCCTTTTGAAATATTCTATTAACTTTCATTCTTTCTGTGCCCTTACAAGCCTTATTTCACTCTGCTTACTTTATGCCAATTCAGGAATAAATATACATTTCAAATGAGGTATGGAATTAGTGAGTTTCTGTAAATATTCAGAACTTCCATAAATTGGCAGAATTAAGGAAAAGAACACACAGAGTTGGAAAAGTTTTTGAGAGGTTGTGTAGTCTACACACTGCCTCAAAAATTCAACTATAGGTGTGCCCTCCCTGACAAATGTTTTTCTATCCCCTTAGAAACAACCAGTGACCCAAGGCAATCTCTTCTCATGCCTAGTGATTCTTACAGATTAAAAGGTTTTCTTGATATCTAAACTGAATTTCTCTAGTTGTGATTTGAATGCCTTTCTTCTTGTCCTATCACTAAGGACATGAAGAAGGGATAATTCCTTTACCTCTTGCAGCAGCCTTTTCTGTGCTTGAAGACTGCTATCATGTCTTCCTTCAGGCTTCTCTTTTGTAGACTAAACAAACCCAATTATTTTTCAATTACAGCTTAATGTTACTTAGCTATCTGTGAGTTCTTATATGGAAGGAATATTTGTAAAGAACACAGAGTTATGTCGATTAAAGAAAAGTTTCAACATGCACACAGAATGCTTAGCTCTGGATTTTGTGTGCTTCTCTCTCATCTATTTCCTAAGTTTAAATTCAGAGCCTTCAAAGTTTTTGCTGATTGTGTCTGGTCTAGATCTGAGTTCAGATTCCAGCTACCCATAAAGCCAAGGAGTACTTTATTCAAGAGTTTTAACCAGGTCAGCATTTAGGAAAAGTCAGTTAAAAGTGACAAAAACTATTAAAGCTGTCTGAGAAAAAAGACCAATTACTTAACCCTGTGCCATGGTTGAAAAGGAAGCTACTGTAACTGGACTTTGTAGGAAGTGATTTTCTAAAGAGATGAAATAGTTCTTTCCAGTAATATAATTTTCCCCCATTTTTCTTTTTGTCTGAAAGGAACGAGGGAATTAGAAACAAAACTGGCAAAGTTATTTAATTTAAATAGAGTAAGCGAATAAGCTTACGTCTGTTCCTAAACTGTCTCTCATACTTCACTATTGTCTCAACAATTACTCTAATTATATTCATAGTATTTAATACTAAGACTTGTATCTTTTTTAGCACCAAAACATAAAGTTACGGAACATGCTCATATTCCTCATGACTATTTGCATTTAAAATTATCCTCTTTTTATGTTAAAGAAAGTACTGGCTACTCACTTTCTGATTGCTCTCCAAGTTCCATGCTTTCGGCTGTTCTGTGCTTTTTTTCGAAGTGCATAACTTAAGGGCTTATGAAGCTGTCTTTATTAAATGACAATACATTTTGTCACATTAAGTGATAACACAATCTGCTATTTTGCTGATCATTTCTGTGGTTAGCACAAAAATGATTCATCAAGTCATTTGATAAATAAGTTTGACAAGCTGATAAGGCTCTGGATAGGATAGTCTGGACAACTTATTAACCTGGACTCGTGCAAAAAATGTATTTGAACATGGTTCATTTAGGAGCATGGAAGGCAGTCTGTATTGACAAACAGGAACCGGCAGTCCATAATGCTGAAACAGATTCAGGGATGAGAACAGCCAAATGGTAAAGTGATGTGACTTGTCCAGTTTGATGGCTTAGCAAACAAAGGCAGAGCAGCAGGAGTAGGGAAGTGTCCTTAATTTTGCACATTGCACCCGTGAGAAAGAAGCTGGAAATCTGTATGCAGATTTAGCATTTAATTTAAAAGAGGCATTAACAATTGGCTAAGTTTCAGTAGAAAATCTAAAAAAATGAGTGAAGGACTGGAAAATACTGCAGTGTAAATGATAATACAGTCTTTCTTAATTACAGATATAAGACTTACAGGTGACTTGAATGTAGTGCATCAGCACGTCTGGAAAACAGCAGGTGTTAAAAGGTGCTTTACAAGAAAAAGTCATAACAATGATGCTTGCAAGTCAAAGACAGAGAGATTCAAACAGTGAATGAGACATATGCCGTTAGAAGTGAGGCTGGTTAACAACTGAAACTAGCTACCGAGAGAAATGATGAACTTTCCATCTCTTCATGCCTTCAGATGAAGATAAACCACCTTTCTGTGAGATGTGCTTCAGCTGAACAAAGGTTAGTAGGCTCCACTTGGGGATAACAGGGTTACATGGGTGGCTTGTGGCGTACAGGCGGTGAGAGCACGTCACAGAGCCTTCGGCTTCACGTTGTGAGAGTCAGAGCTCTTGGCAATGAGCTTAAAATTCTGGGTTATGAAGAGTATCATTAGTTTTCTATTCATATAGATCAGCCTGTTCTACAAAACTGGCAAGTAGATCTTCTTCACCCTTATGCCAGTTAACTGAATGTCAATAGCTTGCTTTTCACCTTATTCATGAAATCATGGCTCTTAACTCCTCCACTGTCTTGTGAACTGTCTTGATGAGTGCTGGAAACCTGCTAGCAACAGTGTTTGGATAGAAGATCTTTCAGCGAGACAAGAGCCTTTCCTGAAGTGTGGCTGTCAGGCTAAAAGTGGCTTGCTCTGTCCTTCCCTGCACTCAAAGCACGGTGGGTCAGCTCAGAATGTCACTCTGACCAGAATGCCAGTGGGAGGAGTGAAGGATCACTTTAAATGGCCACTGTTTTACATAAGGTTTTTCGGAGGGTTTTTTTTTTTTTTTTCCTCACAGTGATATGTCAACCCCCTCGGCCAACCTGTGTGCATTTCCTCTTCCAGAAATAGGAGCCACCTGCCAAGTGGTAGAGAGCAAGTAACTGAGATTAGAGCAGTGGATGTTGTCTTTCTGGACTTCAGCAAGGCTTTTGACACTGTCTCCCATCACATCCTCCTAGGTAAGCTCAGGAAGTGTGGGCTAGATGAGTGGACGGTGAGGTGGCTTGAGAACTGGCTGGATGGCCGAGCTCAGAGGGTTGTGGTGAATGGCGCAGAGTCAAGTTGGAGGCCTGTGGCTAGTGGTGTCCCCCAGGGGTCAGTCCTGGGTCCAGTCTTGTTCAATATATTCATCAATGACCTGGAGGAAGGGACAGAGTGCACCCTCAGCAAGTTTGCTGATGAT